TATGCAAATGCAGAAACTCATCCTTTGCCCTGCTGACCCATATTGAGGAAACAACAAGCAAGCGCTTTTCAGTTTAAATTCAATTCTAGATATATATAGTATTTATGATGCATATAATACATTTTTGGAGTGCTGCTCGAGCTGTATTGTGGTCATGTTTGCTTTTGTCATGTGTCTCTTGTGCTGCTGACCAATGGCTGCGGAGTTGAGCCCGGGCCACTAACTGTCTCGTCGCAATTACAAGAACTTTATCAAAAGCAAATTAAAATGGGTGACATTGGCGTTGGCAGTGGTGCCGGCGGCATCTTGTCCCCTCGAGGGGGGCTGTGGAGGTAACAGCAATGCGAGAAGCAAAGAAGAAGAGCAGCAAGCAAACAACCTAATTAACTTGTCAAAAAATTTGGTTGCGTACCGGAAAAACCGGCAAAGGCAAACAAAAAGCCAAAGGGAATGAAGGGAATGGGCCAGGGCATGGCACGGCATGGCGCAGCTCCTTTTGCTTTTGCAGCATTCCCCGGCTTAAGTTCTATTAAAATTTCAATTACAAATTTTTTCCATTTGCCCACTGCTCTGGCTGTTGTTATACTAGCTTTGTTTCGGCCCAATACTTATGTGCTTTAATTGTTGTTTTTATAATTATTATAATTATGATTGTTAGATACAGCATACCCTCGGGCCGTTTGCTAATGGAGGACCTCAGGGGGCGCCATGCCAAAAAGTTGATTGCCAGCTCCTCCTCATGCTGCTGGCGTTGCTGTTGCTGTTGCATGCAGCCATTTGCAAACGCTGTGAATTTAAGTTATAAAGCGAATATTCTTGCGTCAAGGAATTGAATTTTCGGTTTATAAATTTAAGAGTTATTTCACAGATTATATATATTAAATTTAATGTAATAGGCAGCAGGAGGCATGGCAGACGCCGTAAAGTATACACATTCTTGATCAGGACAAGTCGATGTAGCTTTGGTCCATCTACAGATACTCGACTTGAATAGCAGCTCTGGGTTAGGTTCAGGGCGTATCCAAGTCAGGCAATGCCATCCAGATCAGTCTTACTTGATTATATATTTGTATATTAATTATTAATTTAAAATAAATATTTAATTAATTTATTCTAACTTTCTCTCTTATAAATTAATGAATTTCTAAGTCCTTTCTCTATTTTGGATCTATTGGGTTGAGTTATGCTTAAGAAATAATTAAGTTAATTTAATATGCTTGACAAGCCAAAAACCAAAATTAAAATACCATTAATAAGTTATGAGCTTAAGTTCAATAAAGTGTGACAAATGTATTTTTAATTTTAATTTTTTGTTTTCTTTCTCAATAAGTTTAACGAGCAAATGGAATTCAAATGCTTGCATATATATATATTGGTTAGAGCACTTGCTTAATTGATATTTAAGCTGAGCCTAGCAGTTGTTTGCTTCAATTGCGAAACCTAAATTAATTATAATTTGCGGAGTGGACTTAAAAGTTGACTGTGAGAATCGGTGGCGTATACGTGATGCGCAAATGAATGTGCATGCGAATGGCGTCTGGTCGTGTGGTTGAAAGGGGGGCGACTTCTCCCTAGCTCCGACTGTCACCTGTATGCCACATGTGCGTCAGTTAAGCACACACAGACATATGTATTTGTATACTCATTTGCACATAGGTAAGCAACTGCACTTGGCACCAGCAAGGCAAGGGGCAAGGATGCCGTTGATGGTTGCTGAGTGTGCGCCGCCAGCGATTTTTCTTGAGCAGCAACGGAAAATGTATAGGTAAAGACGTGTGTCGCTGCTGACTGTGACGGTAATGCAACGTGCCACATTCTGTGTGCACCACCCATACCGTTGGCGTTGCCGGTGTCTGCACGGCACAAGTTTGCGCGTGTGTCGCAATCGGAGTGTCTAAGTGTCTCGCTGTCTGTGTGTACATGTGTGCGTTGTCGTTGTCGTCTGGCAATGTCTCCATTTGGCGTTTGCCCCTGCTACGTGCCTATTTAAATTTGCAGCGCTGATGCTGCACTTGATGTTGCACTGCATGTCCAGCTGGCTACATTGGCTAAGCGATTCAGCTTGGATGAACGACAAGACTTCGAACTGGATTTCAATCGAACTGGTCTTTAGCTACAAGTATTTACAATTATTCATGTTATTCATGTTGAGTTATCGAAACTCAAATATTTTTGTTTTATTTATTCTTTACTTAACTAGAGTTAGAGAGCTACTGCGTCTGCAGGCTCTCAAGAAGCTGCTCAACAAGATGAGCTGATGCTAGCTTATTAAATACCTTTGTGGGCTGGCCACTTGAAGTGTAGCCTAACTCAATGGCACATAAATTGGGCTTGGAAATTGATTTTAATGTTAATAAACAGAAATTGTGAAAATGCTAAAAATTCAGAATAAATGCAGTTCGGCCCAGCTTTGGCTTTGAGATGGAGCGTGCCTTAAATTGAAATATTTGAAATATATATATGTATGTGACCAGGCAGCTTATGGTGAAAATCTTCAATGGCTATTTTCCTCGATGGTGTTTCCTAATACTGAGCAGAGTATAGAGCAGTTAAATAAAATATAGAATTTTTTTAGATTTTATTTTACTGCCACATGGTTTTGGTGGCATTCTTTTTAAGTTGGTTGTAAATTGAATTGAAATTATTTGGCAAATGGCAGCGTTGCATGCAAAAACGTTGCAGCACTTTATGCAAATCCAGTGACAGATTTTCACGCCCTTCTGGCGAGAGTGCCAGCGGCAGAGCGCAGCGAGAAGAAACTGTAATTGAAAAGTGGTGCAGCAGTTAAGGCGCCTGCCATCATCATGCCGTAGATATTGTTACGCGCATTTGAAGCTGAGTGGAGTACATCAATTTGCTGCGCCCGGGCATTAGGCGGCACTTTGTCTACCGTTTGCAGCAAACGATGCCATTGGCACCGGCATCACTTATAAGCGTTTAAGTGAATGCGAATGCGAATGCGAATGCGACAACGCACACAGCTACTCGAACGTCATGCAAATGACATTGGCATTGCCAATAGAATTGCCACAACCTGCACCCAACGCGAACTCCATACCCAATCTGCATCTGCATAAGAATCAGAATTAGAATCAGCATCAGAATCAGTCTTGGCTGCCAGCTTGCAATTCTCATGGCCATTTACTTTTCCATTGATGTGCACATTATGTTGCTTTATGGATGAGGTAAATATTTAATGCAACTATTCTATAGCGAAATCCCTGGCTGCATAATTGCCTCTGACTGATCTGGTCTACGGAGTTGCTCGATATTCCCTTCAAACATTACTCGGAACTTAATTGTTGAGATTTTAAGATATATTTCGCTTTAGTTGCTTGGATTTCAGCAGGCCACAGATGAAAGCTTAGTTCATATTTAAGCTTTAATAGAGATAATTATTCTGCCTGACTTACATAATACTATAAAGTTCTTAATCTCTGGCGTTGCTGCATTACTCAGATCTTCTGCTCGCTCACTTACTGAAAGGAGTATATCGGCTGCAATCCTTGCCAGGCTGTAGGCAGGCATAGAATCCGGCATTGCCATCAGTTAAGCTTAACAAATGCTAAATAATAGCCTTTTACTAACTGGGCATAAAAATAGATCAGTGTTGATCTCTGTTTAATCAATCGAACGTATTATGTAAAGGCAGACGAGCTGTTAGATTGATTCTGATGACTTGGTAAACATGGCTAGCTAAATATTTTTGGACCTGAACATGGGACAACCTTTTCACACATACCTATAAATATTCAATTTATATAGCTTGGCCAACATCGATGTTTTAATAAGCTGAACTGAGCGAGTATTATGCACTCACTGCTTTCACTTGCTTTTTACTTTATCTGCGTCGGAAGAGAAACTTCAAAAAGTTATGCGTAAATAATAAGTTTTGCTTTATTGAATTTCATTCCATTAAAATGCTACCACATAAGCAGACGTGTGGGTGTGTGTGTGCGTGTGTGTTGCCATCGTTGCTGCTCTTTAAAAGTTTGTTAGTTGTTAATGTTGTTTTTTTTTTTTTGGCGTGTCGATGCATTTATATATATGTATATATATATATACATATATATACTTAACGTTACATAAATTATATTTGCAGATTTTATTATTATTATGTGGCTTAAGCTAGAACGCAAATTTCTAAATGTAATAAATCGTTGCAGCATTTTAAAATATATTTCTAGAAAATTTAAAACTTTGGCTTGTGAATGTGTTGAAAATGTATGGATTATATAAAAACATTTTAGACTTAAAACAAAATCAGATTTATAAATTTTACAACTTTAAAGTATCTTTATTGACTTAACTTAAATTTAAAATTATAATTTAAAAAGTTGAGAAGTTTTCAAATATACAAATTAAAGTGAAAATTTGTTTAAATATTTGATTAAATATTAAGTGTAAAATCAGAATTAATTGAAATTTATACAAATAGTTTTTTTTAGAATATTTTATTTATACATAAATTTTTCGCTGAGTTCATATTTAAGTCTAGGCAACGACCAAAGCTCCTAAGGCCTAGTGCTCTACTCTGTAATCCTCCGCAGATTGTCAAAAATGTCAATAATAGTCAACTGTAAATAAAGTTAAAAATTAAAATGGAAAAAAATTTGAATATATTTTCAATTTCAACTGCTCACCTAGCCAAAGACTTACCGCATCCAAAACTTGGCTTAAATAAATTGAAGAACTTCCAAAATCAACTCCAGCCGCAAGCAATAATCCCAATATATATTTTTTTAATTTATTTATTTTAATTTGCATATTTGTTTGTGTGTTGTGTGTTGAAGCCAACTAAATAGATTTTACATTTTGAATGGTTTATTGATTAAGTATCCTTTACTTGCCTTCCACCGCTTCTTCGTTACTTTTTGTGTGATTCTACAATACATATACTATGTACATTCAATACAACTTTAGTGATTAGATATATTCGTTTCTTAAATTGTTTTATTTTTGTTTTTCGTTTTTTTTTTTTTTTGTTCTTTTTCTTTTGATGTTTTTTGCTTTTGAATTAATTTTGAAACCTATTTGATGCTGCGTGCACTGAAAAATTGTCTGAGTCTTGGAACTGAATGGGGGCGCTGGGTAAAAAAGCATTTTTTCACGCTACAATCAAAGCCAAATTACAAAATCAAATTAATGTCTGGCATTGGGCATATTATATATATTTGCTCTCATCTCTTGCAGCCAAACGACGAAACTTTATTCTAATAAAATCAAATTATGTTGCATACGTTCAGGCGGTTTAAGTTTATATATATTATTTCTATGTGTGTGTCTGTGTGTCGCTACTATTGCAGTTCATGTGGCTGACTGTGTCTTTTACTATCATACACAAAAAAAAATCTTAGCTTATATTTGGATTTTTTTCCCATACTTTATTTTTGTTTATATTATTTATTATGTTTAATTGCCTAAAACGTTTTCCGTTTATGTTTAATATGCAAGAGTACTTATGCATGGATAAAAAAAACCACTGAAAACAAATATTTATCGCTAGAATTACCACTTCTTTCTCATAGCACGAAACTGAGAATTTCATTCGAAAGCAACTACGCAAAATTTGTGTCTATGTTTAAGTTTGATTAGCAGGGGAAAACCGTTTGGAACCACGTCGAAACGTAGCTGATTTCGTTAGTTATCGATTAATTGCACTCGATTACCGATATCTTTATACACTGCTGTTCTGTCCCGTTCATCGGCCCGATTTGTGTCTCGTTTCCAGCTTTTCGTCCTCTTCCTCGCTTAGCCTAATTCTAGATATCAACTTTTTAAATACGCTTTACCCGATCCCTTTCCACCTCTCCTTAAACTTGATATGCTTGTACAAGAACTTAATTGAATTCGATGCCATTTCTAGCGCTTCGCTTTGGTTCGAACTAGTTTTCCAACGTGTGCTTGCTGTTGTTCGTCTACTGCTATGTCTACTTCCATTTCGATTGATCAGATTGTTGTCTGTGGCGTGTGGAGCGGCTTAAGGCATTGGAAAGTGATTCTGCTCGAATTCTTTGTGCGGCTCCCCGACCATTTTGTGGGAGCTAACGCTATCCAGTCGTCGATCCGTGATGGCCACAAAGGGCAGACGCTGCTTCCGGCTGAGCGAAGATGACGAGAGCGACGAGGCAGCCCCAATGCCATCCACAACGCGATGGTAAACAAACGAATTGAGTGGCGAAAATGGTGGCGCTGTCGTGTTATGGTTATTCTCATTATTGTTGGAGCTGATGGGCGATGGTGGAGCCGCATGCCAGCTGCCCTGGCCACGTCCCGAAACATTTGCCACAAACTGTGCACTGCGACTGCGTGGCGTGCCCAGAAAGCTGCCTGCTATGGCCGGGTACAGTGGAAGCTTGAACAGCGCCGGCTTGGATGTGGTATGCGGCGGCTTGGCCACAGCCTTCGTCTCGATTTCCCTCTGCCAGAAGTCAACGGCTGCCGACAGCTGATGCTCATCCAATTGCTTCTCTTCTTCGGGCAGCTGATTAAGCTGCGCTGCCGGGCTGCTGGTCAGCGTGGCTGGAGTCGTGGTGGAGCTGCCGCCGTTGCCGTCGCTGCCGCCGGTGCCGCTGTGCTGCTGGGCAAAGACATCCTCGTAGCGTTGCTGATAGCGACGTCGCTTCTGTTTCACGTACTCATCGTCCAGGCGTATGGGCGCCGATTCATGCGGACCCGGCTGCAACTGGGAGCCGCTCCAGACGCCGGAGAACGGCGTGGCCGTCGGTGGCGGCAGCGTGCCCTCGAGTAGGTTCAGCAGTTGCTTATTGCGTCGATTGTATTTCTTGATGTACGGCGGCAGATTGGCCTCCTCGCCATGGTCCTGCTGCGCCTCCTCCAGTTCGGCGGCTGTCTCATAGTCATCGTCTGAATCATAGTCGGCATACAGCTCCGGATGAGATTCGCGATAGTGCTCGTCGTACACCTGGAACTGAACGCGCGCTAGATGCGGCCACTTGGCATAGTAGCGCTCCAGTTGCTCCAGCTCGGTGATCTGATGGCCCAGCTGCGGCTTTGGCGGCGGCAGCGGCGGCTGTGGCGTAGTTGGTGGCGTCGCTGGCTGAGCCGGGGCTTTGCGCTGATACGGATTCGGTAAGCGTTGCCGTGCATGCTTATGATGATGATGCTGATGATAATGATGCTTCAGATGATGATGGTGATTGGCCAGATGCTGCTGCTGCTGCTGCTTCTGCAGCTCGGTGCTCTTGATGCCATTTCGCAGCACTGGACTGATGCGACGATACCAATTGTCGTTATCGTTGGCAATTAGACGCTCCATTTCCGTGTGATGAGTGCCCAAGGGCTGCGACTGCTGTTCCTCCTGATGGTCGTAGTAGTTGACTTGGCCCTCATAGAAGGGTTTCGGCGTGATGCGTTGCGGCCGCACACCCAACGCAAAGATCGGCGATGCATGGGCGCGTGTTTCCCGTTCCTGCTTCTGCTCCTGCTCCTGCTCTCGCTTCTGCTCTCGCTCCTGCTGCCGCTCCTGCTCGCGCTCCTGCTTCTCTGCCTGCTGCTGTTCCTGCTGCCACTTCTGCATGTGCTGCTCCCGATCCCTGCGCTGCTTCACCGTCAGCGCGGCGCTGTGCTTGAGGTAGTCCTTATAGCGCTTCTTGTGGCTCTTGTGACCATTCCGGTGACTGCTGCGCCGCAGAGCCTTAAAACGTTCAAACGCCGACGGCGACGCTGTCGTAGCATCTGCAATACAGATTGAGAATCGCATTAGGCATGAGTGAAAGAAGGAATTGTGAGTCTCGGCACGATGCGCTCGCTCGGAAGTAATAGATTTCTATTAGTCCCGGGGACAACAAATCGCCATATTTGTAGATGGCTGTTGTTGTTGCTGCTGTTGTTACTGCTGCTGCTGTTGCTGCCGCTGCCGTTGCTATTGCCGTTATTGTTGTTTTTGTGACGCTCATCTAAGACCACAAAATCCGTTGCCCATAAGACCACAATTCATTTCATTTGATTGTGCATAAAAGTGAGGCAGCAACCTCGCTGCCACAAAACCCAGGCAAGTTAACTCAGCGAGGTTGGCAACGAAACTTGTAAATAATTGTTTTCTAAACTGAGCGAAAAATAAATTAAACTAAACATAATAAATAATAAGTTTATATGGAAATAAAAATTTAATTTAATTTTTTAAAATATCATTTATTATTTGATGTTTTTTTATGGAAATAATCGAATTAATTAATAAATAAAATTTATAAACATACATATTTAATTTTATTTGTGATATATTTATGCATGTATCAGTATATAACAAGTAGAAATAAATTTCTATATACACAAATTTAATTAAATAATTATTTTTAATTTTATTTATTATTTGTATTATTTACAAACAAAAAATAAGACATATATAAAATTTTTAAAAATTAAATTAAATTAAATTTTTATATATACAAATTTAATTTTAATTTTCATATATACATATATATATATATGCAAGTAATAATAAATTTATATTTAATTTTATTTATTATTTGTATTATTTACAAACAAAAAATAAAACATATATAAAATTTTTAAAAATTAAATTAAATTAAATTTTTATATATACAAATTTAATTTTAATTGTCATATATACATCTATATATGCCAGTAATAATTTATATATACTCCAGAATATTATAATCTGAGCACAAATTTTTTTTGCTTTCATATTTTTAGTGATAGTTACAAGACACATTTATATACAACATATCATGATACTGGCTCTGGTATTATTTAGTCAATTTCATATAAAAACGCTGTTCATGATTGAAATATGGAAATATCTCTTAGGCTGCCGTAAAGTTTGTGCAAACTTTTCTAAATACTTTACGCAGTCTGAAGTTAACCCAAAATTGAATATATCATGAAAAATCGAACGGCCCTCAGCGGCAGAGTCGCAAGCACACATATAACGAATAGCTGGAGACTAGCTTAAGATGCGGCCAGGCACAGGACCTCTGGCAGTCTAGGCACGTATCAGGGGCGACTCCTCCACTACAATGAATGCAGTGCGAAGTTCATTTTTATTTTCTTTCTTTTTTTTGTGTGTTTAGTTTGCGTTGGGTAGGGGGATATATGGTGGGGAAACCCTCGAGACATGCTCTACTTTGAGCAACGGCTCGATGCAGAGCTATACAATATTTGCCGTTTTGTTGGCTTTATTGCTTCAGGCAGGTAAAAAGCAAAAAAAAAAAGCAGAAGAAAATAAGTAAGCGTGGTCTGGCTGGGACTGCTTGACTAGTAGATATTATGGCTTGAATGGTATGCTGCATGTAAGTTTGCTGAGGGAAGTGGTATAATATGCCTGTATATAAAAGTTGACTCCATTTAAATATGCTTAAATACCAAAAGTTTCATCTAGATTTTTGATCGACTTAAACATCGATAGCGATGGACAGACAGCGATAAGTCGATTAGTCCTTTGATTTAAGAATAATGGCATCGTCTCTGTTGGCTCGTTACAAACACCTTGACGAAAACGATATACCCTTAGTGCGCCGTTCGCAATAGGTTCGCAGCATAAGAACGAAAGCTCGCAAAATAAAACTGTTGTAATAAAGTGCCAGCCCAGGGGACTTGGGTGCTTGCTTCGTCGGACGGCAAAGTTCAGTCCGTTTGATTTCTGGCCGAATTTGCATAAGTTCGGCAAGGCCCATAAACTAATTAAGGCTACATCCGAGCACACATTCGAGTATTCACATTTGCACCCATATTAAAGAGATTTTTCGTTTTGCAAATGTGGTTGGAAATTTTGTGCGCAGCTTCCCAATCCCCCGGGCGGGTTAGCTGCATTCAATTGGGGTTTGGCTAACATATTTTCAATTTACGGTCGACAGTCAAGCACAAGTGCCAGCTTAGTGCACTGCAGTCCTGTCCAGATGAGCAAATCAAAACAAGTAAGGGTGCTTCAGTGGGCAGTGCACGACTAGAAGATACCGTGAGCTTAGGTATGGGTGCATGGGAATGATATATAAATAATGGAATGGATAAGTTAACTTGCAAATACTTTAGTAGTTTATATGACAAACTCCGTGACTCTAGCTTTGATAACACAACTCTACATCCAAATTTCCAAGTCTTTAAGTCTTATAGGTACTATCAGACCTTCGGTTAGCCTGTTACATACATATTCACAAGTCGATCATACCCTGGAATTCCAGTTTCATTGTGTCTAGGGTATTAAAAAGCAAAAACCATAAAGAGAAACCAATTCAAAGCATGCGAACACTGAATGCCCAGCCACAGTTTTCAGACAGTGTCGAAAATTCCACAGAAATTACGAAATTTATTTGAATTTTCACATCTAATCAGCTGCTGATGGCGCACAATAGTGCGATGCATCAGCATTGCATTGTTATGCAGTTTAAAGCCAAGTCAGTAAATCGATGCGAAATATTAAATCAAACACATTTTAAACACTTTTTAACTGCGACAGTTTCTGGGACGTTGCATAAATAGTTAAATGAAAATCAACTAAGAATCCGGCTGGAGCCGTAAATTGAGCTGGATCACAATTTATATGTATGTATACTGCGCTTGCTGCCCACTGTGCAGCTTCTTTACATTTCTCAAGTTCCTCTCCGACTATTGTGTGTGTGTGTGGCATGCAATGTCTCTTGTCATTTGGACTGCCACTGACTCTGCATTCCCCTTATCACCGCTGACTCTACCGATCCGTGTTCCGATTCCCATTTGTGTGTTTAGCCCGTGACTTACTGTATACTTTTGTATACTTTTTCAAATAAATAAGAGAACTTTACACGGCACTGCCTGACTGTGAACTACCCTGACTGACTGAGAGTTTGCATAAAGCAACCTATGCGACTTGAGCCAGAAGTTATTTAAATACGGAGATATTGATTTATATTTATCAAACTATTTATCCTGGTTTACTCTCACGTTAGGCTTGCTTATGGATGTGTATTTGGCGTGCTGGCAGCAGCAGCAGGGTATGGCTAGTCGATCATTAGCAGCTGAAGCATTCTTACTTATTGTGGTCTGACTTTGAACAAGCTTTGCCACTCACAAAATGCCCAAATGACTTACCCGGATGATAACGCAATGTAGATTCCATTTCAAGTTGCGACGTCCGTTGCTCCCCGTCGTCTAGGAAACGCGTGTCCTGTTGTCTTTGCGACGGCTGCTGCTGCTGCTGCTGCTGCTGCTTCTTCTGTTGCTTGGTTTCATTTATTATGTGGCCCAAATAGCCGGTCAAGTAATTGGCTTGCGATTTGCCGGTGCTGTCGTCAGTGCCGCGCGAATGCTGCTCACCATCGTAGTAATGCAGCTCACCTACGTCCTCGGCGTTCAGCTCCAAATCAGCGGCCGTGTGCGGCTCGTGTTGATGCGCCTGAATGCGGCCTATGCCATAGTTCTTCTTGTCATAGTTTCTAATGCCGGGCCAGACCATGGCATTATGGCCATTGCCATGTCGCTTGGGCTTGCGTCCGATGGGCGCCAGTAGATCCCGCTGATTTGAGCCACTCGACGTGGCTGCCGATGTTGCTGGAGCAGCAGCGACAGTTGTTGCCTGTATTGTTGTTGTTGTTGTTGCTGCTGTGGTTGTTGCGGCGGTGATTGTGGTGCTTGTGGCTGGTGGAGACGTTATCATCTCCTTTGCCACCGCTGATTCATCATTGTCAACTGTGGACTTAATGTTTTCCGCCAATACTTTATCATTACCAAAATTGTCCTCAATATCGCCGATTGCCATAATGTCCTCGCCGGCAACATCCTCTGCTGCTAGCAACGTTGATTGGCCAGGCGCTTTATTAAATTTTCGTTCATTTAATATTTCAATAGAATCAAACAGCTGCTCCACAACAGGCTTCTGCGGCTCCCGCTGCCATTGCCGTGCACCGCTCCATGGCTGCTCCATCTGGCGGGCAGGTCCATCGGTATTTGCCTGCTGTTGCTGCTTCGTCTGCTGCTGTTGCTGCTCCTTTTGGCTCTGTTGATTTTGCTGTTCGTGCATGTTCTTAAATTTTTTATACGCAAAACTTTTGCTGTCAAAGTTCGCGTTTGGCTTCTCATCCTCCGCATTGTCCTCAGCCGTTTCCTCAGCCTCGTCGTAGCCATTGCCATTGCCATTTCCATTCCCTTTGCCATTCCTCTCGCTGTCGTTGTCGACTTCATCGTTCTTGTTGCTCTTGTCGTCCTTGGCACTGTCGTTGTCGTCACCGGAAGTGGATTTTGTAGCTGCTTCCTCTTCATTGGCAACTCTCTTCGCCAGCATGCTCTCTTTATTGTTTTTCAATTTGTAGCTGTAGTGGTTTTTATTATTATTGTTGTTGTTGTTGTTGTTGCTGTTGCTGTTATGGTATTTTTTCTTGACTATCTTGGCATCTTTGGCTAGGTAAACAGTGAAATTCCTTGAAGTGGGCCTTTGAGATTCAAGTATCTGCAAGAACACAAGCGAACAATAAGAGAACGTAAAGACAATAAAAGCCATTCGCAGTTCCATTTTCACTCCCAAAATGCAGCTAGCTGCATAACTGTGTAGGTCTGTCTCTATTTGCTATGCATATACTCGAATATCTCTCTCTCTCTCTCTATCTGCCTCTGTCTCTGTTACTGCAGCAGAAAACAATAAAGCCAAAGTGGTAGCTTCTAAAAGGCGCAGCATCTTATTCAGTAACTTAGACACATGTGCGACAATAAAAGGCAAGTTTTGCTGCAGCTCGGAGATTGCCCCAAAAGTTGCTGTCTGTCTGTCTGTCTGTCTGTCAGCTGAAACCGACTGCAAAGCGCTGATTAGATGCACAGAACGTGGCAGCCATGCAAGCAACTATGAGATTGCATTTATCCAAAACATTGCGCCCAACTGTCCTTTAGCAACTTTGCAGCCAAGTCTTGGCTTGGCGTCTTGGAGTCGGTCGCATCGCCTCGCCTTGCGTTGAGTTGCAGCAATCAGTAAATATCGAGTTATCTAATTAGATTTCAAACATGGCTAAAGTCTAAACGTTATTTTATCAAAATCTGCAGGCGAAGCGCGTTGAGTGCTTGCATTGAATACCCTGGACTTTTGTCAAGCCTATCCAGAGTTGCTATACTACCGAGTTCGCTTACCCTGCAGTCACTTGCCAGTTGGGCAACTCTGTTCATAGAAACTCACCTTGAATCTACATCTGTTTTGGACCGGCCCTAGTTGGCCCTTGGCTATGACGATTTCCAGTTGACCCGGTTGGGCAAACGATTTGGCTAGACAAACTGCATATTTAAAGCAATCATTCAGAAAAGTAATCTGACTTAGCCAGCACATTGTGCGACATTTCAATGCGTTCGCTCTGCTGCTGCAGCTGCTTCTTCTTCTTGTTCTTGTTCTTCTTCGTCATCTATTTTCTGCACTTTTTGCAATGCTATCTAACTACATATATCGTTTTTCTATGGCATGTGTGTCATTGCAATGGAACTGACCTCATTTGAAATACTTACGGACTTACAGCACCCACGCAGCAGCTGAACACACATAATATTCACACACACACACACACACACACACATATATATATATATACTCTGTCTATACTCACAATATCCGCCGCCTCGTACTCGTCAGCTTCGTCATCCGCAGGCTCAGCATATTGCATCTGGGCGGCCGCATCTTCGCCAATGTCGGCATCATGTTGGTCAAATATGTCCTCCGGTATGCTGGCCTCAGCTTGCAAATTAAAATCTGTATTGAAGAAATCAGCACAGACACCAGAGTTAGGCTAAAGTTTAGGTCTATTTGCCAATGTGTTTCGCGCTCAAGATAGCTCCAAGTGACTCGTGCCACTGCCCTGCCCTCTAGACACGCTGTTCGACGACAAAGGCGTTGGTCGAGCTCTATCGAGCCGTGTGCGATTTGCAGTTGTGCTGATAGTACAGCCGCAATGCTTATAAATGTATGTATGGCAAAAGGTTAGAATAGACGGGCAGCTTGCATGGGTTTCTTTAAGCGTTTTACGTAAATAAAAGTAAGCTGCTTCAATTGACTTCCACTTTTGAGCGTAGTCGATGTAACTATTGAAATATGAATGCATACATATATGTATATGTATGTGTGTATATATAGTATATATGTGTGCGTACATAAGTATTTTTCGAATATGCATGGATGACCTGAATAAAGGGGGGCTTACTCATAGTTGAATGGATAAGAATTTAGCAAGGAGCTCAGTATTGTGCTCTCCCTTGTGTGTGTGTGTGGTTTTTTTTTTATAAATATGCATATATGTGTTTCTTTTATGCGCTGTCATTGACTGAATTGCCATTTGGGGAATCCATACACCCACACACAGGCACACACACGCACCCACCCACTCACCGCAAGCTTCATATAAAATGGCATAAAAATGTGTTCTGCGTCTATTTCTTCGTTTTTATTTTTGTATATATATTTATATTCATTTATTGACAATCACAATTTAAATTTATTTGCCCTACATGTGCTGACTCAAAATCCGACTGGATTCAGCGAGTCTAGACGCTGTTGTTGCTGGAAATTCTTTAGCTCAATTAAAATGAATTATGTAGCGTGGTAAAAGCAAAAGTGTTTACTTGGTCTGTCATTTCGACCTTTACTGTCTGCCGTATCAGGTCTTGGCCAAAAATTGAGCTGTCGCAAGCAAAACATTTCATTTTGCCATTTGGCGAGCAACGTGGCCTGTTGCGTCTCCTCCACAGCTGTGTTGATTGGAGCAATTATTTGTCGTGTGGCACGTCTCGCCGCGATGACTCCGGCACTCAGAGCAACGTTTTAGATCGTTAATAATAATTTGTAGCTTGGCTAACTCAATAAGCTCGTTGGCTTCTGTCACTGCAAGCGTTCCCGTTATGTGTGTGAAATGATAAAAACCCATTTTAAATACCGTTCACGAGTCGCTAGCAAATCAAGACAACGAAACACAAATTGCATCTAAATTGCGCTCAAATACAAATTTATTAGTTTTGCTACAAATCTATGATCAAATTGCCGTGTGTGTGTTTAGCAGTATTTGGGGTCAACAAGCGTCGGTGACTTATGTAACCTTCTGCCAAATCCATTAGCATCAATTCATCTTTCACTACGGAGACAGTTGCAATTGAATAGTTAAAGCAAATTGCTGAAATCGATAGCATTTTCTGTTTTTGCCATTTTATGTTTAGCATTTAAAATTTATGGCAATTCACAGAGTCAAAATTCAGGTGAAATTTGCTGAGGACATTACAGATTTGCTCTATGCTGAAGAGCAACTCGAAAAGTAAGCTTAATTTTCGAATGCTCTCTCTATAGTTACCATATATAACTTTTGCTATTTATGAAAATGGAGAAACTTGCATAAGGAAGTAGCAGAGCAGATGTCAGCAGCTTTCAACTGTAGATCCCAGTTGAAAATGTCAAGAAAATTATTTGGAAAATCATTCAAAGTTGTTGATGTTGTTGGCTGCTTGAGAGAGCTTTTTATTTACCGAAACTGAAAAGTTATATAAAAGTGCGCGGCAGAAGAGCAGACAGCATAGAGCTATATATTTAACTATATACTTTCATGCAACTCTTCTACATATATATTATATATATATATATATATATATATATATATATATATATCTATAAGCAACTGTAAGATTAATTTGCTGAAAATTTCAATTTTACTTGTCTTTAAATATTTCCAAAGATCTCATAGATTTTCATAAGTCCAGCCTGAAAAATATTCGTACCCTGTAGAGATATGCATATGGATCAGAGCAACTAACACTGTGGCTGAGGTCACTCAGACGTGCTGCTGACTGACGGAAAATGATGAAAAGCGTATGCAATGCGACTAATTAAATTCCTTTGACTGGAATTAAATTAAGCAAAGACATACGGTGCCAGGCATAGACCCAGGGGAGCGCCCACAATAAAGGTTGGACAAAAATCTGGGAATAAAATCACGCACATGGTTTTAATGTCCCGGCGCTCTGTGGCGATACGTTACGAAGCTCACTTGTCCTTCACTCACAGCCTTTGACTGCCCCCTGACACGGCCCTGCGCCAGTCAAGCGCTGCATTGAGGTTATCGCCGCCAGAGCTTCGCCCATCCAATGCCCAGCTGTCAAGTGGCGGTGGGTGGTTGGATGGTTGGATGGTTGGATGGTTATGTAGTCAGCCCCATCTGCTCTCTGCCATAATGAATAAATGTCGCATTAATTTTCACGCAACACTCTTTGGGGGTTGGCCGACGCGTCGAATCTTCCTGGCGCTTACGGGCTCGAGGTGGGTATCTGCGGCATTTCACTGAGCTCGGCCCGGCACGTTCTGTGCTTGTTTTCCTTTAGCTCCAGAGGCAAACAACACAAATCCATTGCACACAGCCTTGGCACACAATGCCCACGTTTTACACTGATTTTTCTCTATGAATGCATGGCTGTCTGATTGTCTCTCTCTATCTATCTCTCTCTCTCTCTCTCTGTTTGTTTCTGTCTATTTCTCCATCTGTCTGACTGCCTGCCTGCCTGTGTCTGTGCGCTTATATCTGCACATTTTATACAAAAGCTCTCCATATTTGAATGTTGTTGCCCTCTGGAGTTTAATTATTATGCTTGTAATGAGCGTGTTGCTTATTTAAGTTCGTAAAGCTGCACAGCCCTGCCCCGGCCACCATTGAGCACCCAGCCATGACTACAATTTGGGCTAATTACAATGCTTCCGCCTATGCACTGCAATGGAGATTGCAGATTGACCAAGTGTCCACAGTCTGCCTCTATTAATTAATCCATTATGGCCTGTTGACTTTTGGCGCACGCTTGCCTCGCGCCTCAGCTCTGCTGCACTTCACTAAAGTGATGTGGGCACTTATTGTGCAATCAGCTGTGCAATTTGTCTTCAACAATTTGCTAGATTCACTGCCATTTGGCGGACTAGAATGCCCACAATCATCAATATACTGCAGCGGATAATCAACTTTGCTCGGCTTTATTTTCACTTTGCTGTTGGGGAATGTTTCTCGAGCTCCTGCTGAGTCTCAATAGATGTTTTAATCAATAAAAATCACTATTTCGACTCACTATTGATGACACATGCTGTCGCTAGATCTCTCTATTTTCTCAACTCCTTAGTTATGATGATAATAAATGACTTTGGTATTCACTAAAAGCAAGCAAAAATGCGTGACTCATAGCTGTTGGATTGTTTTGTTGATTTTATTGACAAAACAGAACGCTTTGCGTTGTGACACTACAATATAGTACGCATACGACCCGTGACATGCCCGAAAATGATAAAGTCTCTCAAGCAAAATGCCAACAAATTCAAGTTGCCTGACAAATTTAAATATTATGTCAGTGCAAGGCCAACGGAAGTCGCAAATGTTTCAACGAACTTTAAAAACATATTTTACAAATAGCAAACAATGTCATAAAAGAGTCAGAGACGGTAAGAGTCAGAGAGAGGGAAAGAAGCAGACATATATGGAAAGGTGCGGAGAGGCAGAGACAGACAGAGGGAGATAGAGCGAGACAGGGATAAGGAAAGAGGGAGAGTGAAAGAGAGAGACAGAGAATGAGAGAGATAGAGAAACATAGATATATTCAGAGAGAGAAAGAGTGAAGAGTGGAGAGAAGAGAAGTGAATTCGGAGAGACAGATAGACACAGAGTTAAGGGGTAGCATGGAGAGATAGAGAGAGATTAAGAGAAAAACATGAAGGCAGAGATAAAGAGAGAGAGACAGAAAGGAAGAGATATGCAGAGAGACAAAGAGAGACAGAGAAAGATAGAGAGAGCCAAATGGAGGTGAAGATAAAGAGAAAGGAAGAGTGATAGAGAGAGATAAAAAAGAGAGAGATATACAGATAGGTAGATAGAGAGAGAGAGAGAGTGAAAGAGGGAGAGAAGAAAAATGGAAGATAAAGGGAGATAGAGAAAGGCAGAAAAAGAGAGAAAGAGACAGAGAGGAAAACATGTACAGAGAGACGAAGCGAGAAATAGAGATAGAGAGAGAGATAGACGGAGATAAAGACAGTCAGAGATAATCATAAAGCTGGAAGAGATAGAGATAAATACATTGAGTGAGAATGAGAGAGAGAGAGAGAATCAGACAGGTAGATGGAGGGCCATAAAGATACACTGAGAGAGACAGCTGTGTATAGAGAGAGAGAGAGAGAGAGAGAGACAAAGACAGAGTGAACCAAAGAGAGATAGACAAAGACAAAGAGAGACTCATAGACAAGCATAGCGAGAAGTAGCGACAGATTGAGGACACAGAGCAGCAGTTCGCTGCGCATTGTACGCTGCTTGAACCGTATCAGAGAGAGTTAATAGGCTACGGCGGTTCGCATTGTTACGGTTGCGGACATTTTAATTGCACTTTAGTGGTTTTTGTGGTCGCCATTGTTGTCTCGCTGTCGACTATGCACTAAATATATATTTAAATACCCAGCATGCGGATGAGGCAAGCCGCACACAAGCACAGACAGCGGCGCATTGTGAAACGGTCGAATGATTGATTGACTAGAAAGGATTAAAAAATTGTACGAATTCTATTAATTAAAATCAACAGTGCTTTGCCATAGAGACTCTGATTCAACGGACTGAAGCGTTCATTGATTGATTGATTAATTAATTTACTGAAATGCATATTGCTATTTATATTGAACAAGTTCAGCTGCGCTGAAAATTTTCATTTCCATTACAATTGTATTTCAAATAAATAATATACTAACCATAGTATATA